TTTTCTTCTATTTCAAGGCAGGATTTTCGACACTAGGTAGGGCGAATTCAGTAGCTGTCTGGAAGAGAATTGTAGCTGCCGGGTGCTATGATCGGTTTCTTTCATCATCACCAGGCGAATGCCGGAGCAGCACCCTAACAAATGGGCCACGACCCGCTCGATCTTTCATGCTCCCATTCCTTTTTCTTATTCGTAGTAGCAATTATTTTATGATTTTTATATTATGAACTATTTATGTTCTGTATATATTCCCCACAATAGAAAAAATTATATAGCACAAAAATGAACGGAAATACTACATTTGTAGAACGCTGCGCAAAGTTAACACATACCAAAATCTCTTGCGTTCCAAATTCTGGTTGTCTGTGTGTGTAGAGGCGTTTCCGGAAGATTTACGCACCACTGTGGAGTGAATAATGCAATGAACTACGACGATGGATGTAAACATTGCCAAGATATTTTTCAACTCTTACTACGAAATATTGTTTCGCAATCCTACTGATGAAATTGAACATCCGCTTGTTGCGTATTTTGGAGATGAATTTGTTTTCCAACGTCACGATGCATCCAGATTCCTTTCATCGTCGAGATAATTATGCTTTCAGCAAAACAACATCCGGGACTAGTTGTCTATACTCAGCATTCATATTGAATTTCCCTTCAGAAAGTCGGCTGCCAATTCCCCGCTACAACGCAGTTTCTTCCAAAACGCATGCCCTAGAATACGAAGTACGGTTGATATAAGCCCCTGCTGCTCCGATTCGAACTTCAACGTTATCTCCGTGTATTTTTAGAAACGTATTCCTTTGAATCTATTTCGAAACGAATTTTATATGAAAAAAATTTGGGCCTGTCCGTGACCCAATTATTGGATTCATGTGACTAGAAGACTACCCGTGTATTGTCCGAGACTTTCTGAGGAGACAACCTAATGTATATAGTGTTGTTGTGGTTAAGTAAAATCGAATGAAAACACTAATTCATTTATGATCAAGTTTTCTTTACTGCTGTAATAATATATTAAATAATCACGTTGATTCACGTTCATTTGTAAAGTTTGTAGATTTTGTAAAGTTGTTAAGTTCTGTAATATTTAAGTTAGTGTTTTCTGCCACCAAGTTCTCAAACTTAATTGCAAAATTATTAATAAATCTAGTCTAATAAGCTGCATCATGAGTTGTTATAGCATTTGCAATGCGTGGAATATTTACTTAAAATCTGATCTTCCGTTTTCTTCCCGCATGTTATCTCCATTTCATAACATGTAGTCTTCTTTGCATAGAAATATGAGTACTTTTTATACACTATTAAAGAAAATTATTTCTCAATCAAAGCTATTATCGGAATCATTCGAAGAATCCCGTTCATAAATAAAATTCTGCTCTGTTTATGAGAATTTGAATTTTTTTTACAATTGTGATTAATTTACTTGGCAACGTTTACTTTAAACGATTGTGAAACACATGATTTCCTTCCAAATTATGAACCCATTTTTCTTCTTTTTTTATAAAAAGGATGATGGGTAACTAATTGTGTCGCGTGTTAAATTGTTATCGTTAAATTTTCAATTGAGTTAACTGTTTTATATTTTTCTGAATGATTTCCCTCTATGTTGACAAGAAGTTTAAACTAGTACCACAGAATGGCACAGACGTTTCCTGACTCATTAGGCTAACGTCTCGGATTTTTCTGTGCAGCAATACGTAACTTTTTCTACATTTAATTTGTAGTATGCGATAAATATGCCATTGTTTTTGTGAACATCTCGTTTACGTATTTGTGGAAAGCTATTGCGACTTTACTTAAAATTACTCAAAATCTATCAAAATAATTTTAAAAAATGTGCTTGATATTTTTGAAAAATGGATATTATTTAAAAATACTGTTTTAAAGAATAGATTTCATTGAGTAACGTATTTCTGAATTCAATAGTATAGTCGTAGGAGAGAGTTAAAAACAAATTTATTCATGCAAATTTTCGAAAATTTAGAGGATTGAACAAAAATCGGACTTATACCATACTAGGACCCCGGCAGAAATTGTTCTGCCTTTCATCTCACTTTTCTTTCCCTGTCTCTCACCGTCTCTCTCAGTCCCTCTCCCTTTCTCTGTCTCTACCCCTCTCTTTCTCCGTGTCTCCATGACACACGGCAACGCTCAGTAACAATGAAGCTCAGGTGGAGTGCAGTTTGAAAGGAAATTGAATTTAAATGATGCGCTCTTTTGTTCTGCTGTGCCATCTAGTGGAGTTTAAACAAAACTAACAGCATATAAACCTTCTGGGTGAAAAACCATGTAGATGTGTCAAATTTCATGAAGATCAGTCATGCAGTGTCGGAATTTACCGCTCTTATATATACCACTCACGCGCGCGCGTGCGTGCGTGCGTGCGCGTGCGTGCGTGCGCGTGCGTGCGTGCTTGTGAGATCATACTCTGCTGTACTCGAGCAACAACTATGAACGAAGCCACATTTGAAGACATTTTCAAAATATCCGATGGGTTTCCCTACGACTAAAAATTAAAATATGCTTTTCAAACCCCAGAAACTCGAAATTTGCTAAATTGGTCGGGGTATCCATTTTGAAGAAAAAGAGTGTGTGCTGTTAGCGTAAGTGCCACAGACGATAAGCAGGTACTTTGGCCGGCAGAGTGACAGTCATAAATGGAGGGGGCACTTTTTCTGTATTATGAACACCTAAAATGTGACCTTCAAAATTTCGACGGGGATATTTTTGCAGCAGTATACGGTCTCTGTATGTACTCCGTTTAAGTAGTATAGGTACATTTACATAGTATACAAGAAAGTAAAAACTATTTTTCGGCTCCCCAGAACATGTATTTCCGCCAAAATGCGAACATCAAATTTGTTCAACGTTACATCACTTTTTCAATTCTAGTTCTACGAGAAAGTAAAAAGTGATCGTTATATACTCCATTATCTTTCCATCATTGAAACGAACTGCATATAATTGTATAATGATGGCTGGCAGGACACAAATGACACAACTAAAATATGCGTCTTAAAGCGCGCTTTGCCATAAGTGTGGTGTTACACAAGTAAGAGCTTTGCGTGTCGCCCGCTAATGTAAACACGTAGTGTCATTTTTTAACAATATGTAAACAATGTTTTGAACATTTGGAAAATGTGAAACTATTTGTTATCAAATACAAAAACGGAAGCTAAAACCGAATGCAAAATATTTTATTTACCAAAATTGAAACGTTTTTTGAAAGGGATTGATACGTGGGATGTTGATTACCGAAGCTGGCTATACTCGCATTTCGAGGCGATAAGCCCTTTACAAGAGAATTGGAATCTGCAACCAAACAAATGAAAGCCGTTCAACCTCCATCGCCTCGTTGCCGCCGCAACTCGAGAGAACCTCAAAAGGCAGCCTACGTGACGCGTCCATCTGCGATCGGTTCGTGGAAGCGACGTGACGTCGCGGTTCGACGGTCGAAGTCGAGATCGCAACCTCCTCCGCCGCGCCGCGCCGCGCCAGATGCGCGCCCGCTCCTGGGTGGGCCGCAACGCGGCGCGGCGCGGCGCGGCGCGGCTGGCGCGCGGGTCAAAGCCTATGAAGCCGACGAGGGGCGCGCTTGCTTGCGCGCGATTGAAAGTGGCCGTAACTCTGGGGGCAGACAGGCCGCGGGGGCGCCGCGGCGCTGCGCTGGCGTCATGCGACCACCGTCGTCGCTTGGCCCTTTCTCGCCCCGAGTCGCCTTCCAGAAGCGGTTCTACGAGGTCGTAATCTAATCACTCTCTTCTCCGTCGTTTTCCTCTTTGACTTGGGAGGGGGGACCGTCGACCGCTGAGGTCACGGTTCTTGGTGGTAAACGACCACCCGGACCGCGAGTTTCACGGCGCCACTCACGTCGTTAGCTGGCGTGGTGGAGGCGGTGAGTAGGTGATTCGCCACCGACGTTTGGACGGGTTTGGGCGTGGGGTTTTGTTAGTCACCATCCTCTGTACTGCAGGGCGGCGGACGTCAAACCCGCGTATAAAAAATCCAGATGGGGAGCATGAATCCCCTGTCGGGGTTATCTAGGTTCCGACGGCACTCACGTCGATAGCTTCAAGGTGGAGGCAGTGAGTACGCGATGCCATGGCTCTTCACACCGCTTCGCCACAGCTGCCTTCCAGATGCTCCACAGGGGGAACCATCGACCGCGGACGTCAGGTTCTTGGTGGACGATTGTAATCAGCCACCCGGACCGCGAGTTTCGTCAAAAAAAATTACAATTTCACAGTGGGTTTTCGCGATTTCAAAACAATATCTGGACCGCGAGTTTCGTCAAAAAAAGTACAATTACACAGTGGGTTTTCGCGATTTAGAAACAATATCTGGAGGGCGGTGGCGCAACTCTGGCTTCAAGTTCCGATTTAGCGCGTCGACTTTGTTCATAGAGAAACATTTAACACACTCGCAAAACATTTTTTTTCGATTTAAGAAAATTGGAGGGTGGTGGCACAATTCTGGCTTCAGATTTGGATTCAACGTTTCGAAATGCATAGAGAAATGTGTGTCAAGTTTTTGGATCTGACAACTTTTGTGTGAGTGTGCTCATGTTATTATTATTATTATTATTATTATTGTTGTTGTTGTTGTTGTTATTATTACCATCATCATCAGTATTGGGAATATTTCCGCAGAATTAGACTTTTACATTTCTTCACATTTTATTGCAGGTGATTTATTTAGATATTTTTGAAAATACTTTTATTGTTATCGAGTCAGTAACTTTAAACGAATTACAAAATTATTTTGTGATATGGAAAACGATGTCATGACTGTTCGCGACAATAGATGTATCCTTTTGAATGGAAATATCTTCGTAGAAATTGAAGGGTTAATTTTACATTATGGTTCTAACCGTGAATTCATAAGTAGTTTGGTTCGTCAGATTGGCTTATTAATAATAATAATAATAATAATAATAATAATAATAAAGCTACCGTTTTGAAAGTAAAGAAAGGTTTGATTGTGTTTCTTTGCAGATGGTTTCAAAGGCGACTTACGTTTATGGATAAAATTGTTACTACCTCAAGCTGTTAAACGAGTATACAACCTTCAGAGCAAGCAGTTAGTCAAACTCTTCAGTCGGGTGAGACCAATCTTACTTTAATATATTTTAGTAATATTTTATTTCAAATTTAAATTGTATACATGGAATGTCTGAAGCATAGGAGACAACATGCTGGAAATTGTTTCAAGATAATGGTTTATTTTTAATGGCCATGTGAAGTACTCTTAGTAAAGGGAGGAAAATAAGTGGAGCCATCTCAATATGTTTGCCCTTCAAATTCATATTTAAGATTGTTTTGACCGTGGTCTCAAACACACATTAGAATAACGTGAATTAGAGCTATTCGTGTAGATTCGTTTAAAGAAACCGGAGTAAACGTGTAAGACCAAAAGAGATTGTTTACGCGGTCTGCACGTTTCCTGTGCAATTTGCCACTCAGCGCTGCCAGGAGAGCTGCCAGGGGCTCTGCAGGACTTCCACCAGGAGTTCTGCCGGGGGCTCTGCAGAGGTTCTGCCAGGGTCGCTGCCAGGGGCTCTGCAGGGGTTCTGCCAGGAGGCGCGGCCAAGTGACTGCCAGGGGCACTGCAGGGGTTCTGCCTGGGGTTCTACCAGGAGCTCTGCCAGGGGCGCTGCTAGGGGCTCTGCATGGATTCTACCTGGGGCCCGGCCGGTGCTTCTGCCAACCATGATTCATGTTGAGCCGACCATGATTCTTGTTGAGCCAACCATGATCTTTGTTGAACCAACCATGATCCTTGTAGAGCCAACCCTGATCCTAGTTGAGCCAACCATGATCCTTGTTGAGCCAGCCATGATCCTTGTAGAGCCAACCATGGTTCTTGTAGAGCTACCGATGATCTTTGTTGAGCCAACAATGATCCTTGTTGAGCCAATCATGATCTTTGTTGAGACAACCATGATCCTTGTTGAGCCAACCATGGTCCTTGTAGAGCCAAGCATGATCTTTGTAGAGCCAACCATGGTCCTTGTAAAACCAACCATGATCCCTGTAGAGCTACCCATGATCCTTGTTGAGCCAACCATGATCCTTGTTGAGCCAACCATGATCCTTGTTGAGCCAACAATGATCCATGTTGAGCCAACAATAATCCATGTTGAGCCAACAATAATCCATGTTGAGCCAACAATGATCCATGTTGAGCCAACAATGATCCATGTTGAGCCAACCATGATGCTTGTTGAGCCAACCATGATGCTTGTTGAGCCAACCATGATGCTTGTTGAGCTCACCATGATCGTTTTTGTTCCAACCAAAAATTCTTGGTTAGTTATCCGTGAACTTTGTTAAGCAAAACAAAATCATTGTTAAACCAACCATGATTCACGTTGAAACAACCGTGAACCTAGTTGAGCCAACTAATATAATTGTGGAGCCAACCATGAACCATGTAGAACAAACCATTATCCTGGTTTATTCAACAATGATCCTTGTTAAACCATGATCACTGTTGACCCCACCATGATCCTTTTTAAACAAAATAATATCCTTTTAAGCCAACCATGAACCCTTTTGAGCCAAGACTGATGCTTGTTTACCCAAACATTATACTTGTAAAATCAACCATGATCCTTGTAAAACAAAACATAATCCTTGTTTAAACCGAACATGATCATTGTTAATCCTACCAATATCATTTATAGCCAAAATAAGCCATTATTTTGACTCGTTTGACTTGACTCTTTTGATTCCTGCCTTTTTGGACTCTATGGATTCTTTGGACACTGTTGACCCATCTGACACTTGACTACTTTGACAATAGAATGTTTTTACTATTTTAATTATCGAGTTTAGTTTCCGCCAAGCACGTCGACCAAGTAAGGGATCGACCCAGCATTCGATCAAGTAGGGGATCGACACAGCAATTCGATCAAGTAGGGCGTCGACCCAGCAAGTCGATCAAGTAGGGCATCGACCCAGCAAGTCGATCAAGT